AATAGCCAAAACTTTCCGATCGTTCGTGAACGACCCATTTTCGTTAGTTTTTTTCCAATCGATCAAAAAACTTGATTTCGTCCATTCTTCGTCCATTCTCATTTATCATTTTGTTTGTAAACATTTGTTTCAAAAAGGTTTGTTCAGTATTAAAATCTTACAGAAAATCCGTTCGTTTAGTAAAAAAAACTAACGAAAACGTTCCTTAACGATCAATATTTAGAACGATTTTTAATCGTTCGTTATTTTAATATTTTTCGGAAGAAGAGGAGAATCATGGGAAAACGGAAGGATGGGAAGAAGGGAAGGAAAGTTAAAGACAAGGATGAGAGAAGAAGAAGGAAAGTTAAAGACAAGGATGAGAGAAGAAGAAGGAAAGTTAAAGACAAGGATGAGAGAAGAAGAAGGAAAGTTAAAGACAAGGATGAGAGAAGAAGGAGGAAAGTTAAAGACAAGGATGAGAGAAGAAGAAGGAAAGTTAAAGACAAGGATGAGAGAAGAAGAAGGAAAGTTAAAGACAAGGATGAGAGAAGAAGAGGGAAAGTTAAAGACAAGGATGAGAGAAGAAGGATGAATGGGAGAAGAAGTACGGATGGTAGAGATGGTGGAAGCTGATAGATTCGTGAATTCTCCGGCTGCGGAGAATGTATCGTTGAGTATTATTTTCTCAGTTTAGAACTAGTGCTCACAGACTCAGCATTATATCTGAGAATAGAGAGTTTTCACAGAAACCAGATTTTAGTGTTATACATTTTAATATACTAGGCCTTTAGGGCGCATCGCCCTCATCTTCTTTTTCAACTTTTAATTGTGGCTTTATCTGTGAGCATCTTCTCTTTGTACAGTGTACAAATTTAATTTTTTTTAAAAATTTCATAATATTTTTTTTTGCCTCATCGGTACGGCCGTTTTGATGTTTATTGGATACAAACAAACAGACACCCAGACAAGCTAAATTTATGTATAGAAGTAGAAGTTTTGAGTAACAAAATTATATGCAGAAAACCTAATAAAGATTGTAATACAATCAATCCTTGTTTAATTATAAAAAGGCCTTCTCTCTTTTAAAAATTGATCATCTTAGAATTATGTATTTTCTTTTTAAAGGCAGTGACCGGCAATGTATGGTGGTTGAAGTGAGATTGCAGTATTTCACAGAAATTCTTGAGGATTCATTTGAGACATATAAAACGTTTTAATGATTTGTAATTACTGAGTTTGAGCGAAAAGTCCACGTTCAAAATCATCTTTTCGGGTGGGTACGTTTGGAGGAATCGATTTTTGTTGAATTATTAAATAACGACGACAAAAAATGTAGCAAAAATTCTACATTAAAGGGAGTGTTCGCGAAAAATGAAAGGAGATTTAGGCTTAATGCGATAAAAGAGCGCTTTTGATCGCTACTAATCTTACTTCTATATGTTGCGTCTATAAGGAGAAAATTGTTAAAGATAGTTTATATTTTATAATATTTTTTAATTGATTTGTTTGTTTCTCTTGTCGCTTGCGCAACTATCTAAGAATGCCGCACACCACTCACAATTTTCGAAATCCGTTGAAAACGTTTTCTAAAAAAGTAAAATATTATAAAATATAAACTATATACAAATGTGGCGAAAGATAATCGATGACTATAGGTTGTACTATCTAAATGATTTGTTTGAAATTAAATTGATTTTTTACGATCTAAGTAGTATGTTGCAATTTTCTCAATTTGTATGGCCGCTAAGTTATTCGGTATGAGACATCTTTAACAATTTTCTCCTTATAGACGCAACAGATAGAAGTAAAATTAGTAGCGATCAAAAGCGCTTTTTTATCGCATTAAGCCTATACCCCCCTTTCATTTTTCGCGAACACTCCCTTTAAGCTAATTAGTTGTTTGAATCCTAAAGAATTTGTCCACAATACTCAGTTCAACTACCATACATAGCCGGTCACTCCCTTTAATATGAAACCATATTGTCCTCACAAAATTGTTTTTTTTTAAATCTCAAATTGCAAATGAATAGAACGAAAAGTTCAAGTTTTCTTTGATTTGATGCTGAAAAGTACCAAAACAAATAATTTTTTAAATTTTATTAATTTTAAGGTTTTCTTCCTTCCTAAAATAACAGACACCAGTATTCATTGAAAATAAAAGTCTAAAATGACAATTAATCATGTCTTGTTTTTATTAAATAGACAAATTGGTTTTAAGATAATCTTGATTTTTTAGGACCTAAGTCTGGGTATGTTTTTTTATCAGAGTGCATGACATCTGCTAGAAAGGGTACAAAAAATGTTTTGCCAAAAATCATCTCCCTCCCCCTCATCCCACCAAAACGTATCTCTTATATGGTAATCAATTTTGGCTAATTTTGAAACACTTTTCGTAGTTTAATATTACGTCCAAAATTTTATAGTTTTCAGTTTTCAATATAACATTAATGAACTGTATAAAGTTTTAATGGACTGCTTAAAAAGTTGAAAAGGGGGTTTGCAATAAACCTAACATAAAAATTGTATTCTTTTAAAACAGATTTAAAGAAATGAACTCAGTGCTTCTAGATGACGACACAATTTTTTTTAACCTGTTTAACCCAATATCTGATTTCAATTGTTTGTCATTTTTAGATTTTAATGTTTCAAGCAAATCTTCTTTGGGTTGGTTTGGAACGAATTTGAGAGACAACATTGTACAATTAATCCTAAACAGACATCTCCGGACAATTATTGATTTCATTCAATAATTGTCAAATCTACTAAGCAACGAACAGAAATTCAGATAAAAATTGTACTGAATTAATTTGTTATTTAAAATGGGATTGTCGTTTTAACTGGAAGGAACTGTAAGTGTAATGATGGTAATGCCCAATTCACAACGGTACCTTGTAATCTTTTTATGATCAAGTATACAGAAGAATTCTTCTCTACAAAAGTGACAATTGTGCATCTCTCCTACCGGAAAACATATCGGGATTATCATAATTTAACCTTTTGAATCGATCATTTTAGCCATTTTTTTAAGTACAGGGTTCCTTGAAATTACGCTTACATAAATCTACTAATAAATACGTTTACCCTTTAAACCTTGATCTGAACCAATATAACATTTTTACCTCTTTCTCTTACAATTTATTTTTTTTTTCAATTGTGGCTCTTTATATAAAGGGACTTGCCAATTTAAGCATACACGGCCTTTTCCGCAATCTTGATCACATAAAGGTTTAAATGGTTAATCACAATGACAATTTCTTGAACTAATCGTTTTTCCAATTCGAAGTATTAATTGAAAGGATTTGAGTCATTTCCACAAACTCAGAATTTCTAATCCCTATATCTTTGCAACCCAATGCCGTAGACCTTAGATATTTCAAACATGAATTCTGGTAGATCAAATAATCTAAGTTTGAAATATCAAAGGTTTGCACCATCAAGTTGCTAAGATATAAGGATTAGAAAATTTGAGTGTGTGACAAAGACTCATTTCCTTTAGAAGAAATGAAGAAATGATAATAAATTATTCGAAATTTAAAATAGTTAAGCACTTTTACGTTTTTGCGTTAAAAAAAGAATATTCGTTGAATTCTCACCTATTTGTTAATTTATGAAGTTTTGTGAGAAAACATTTTCACGTAGTTTATTAACACAACAGACAGCTAACACTTTCAACAGGATACTTTACTTTTGCATTTCCTATATCGATCTGTATTCAAATTTAATTTAAAAACTTCGTTCACATAAACTTTAAGGGAATTCCCATGAAATTAAAAAGAGTTTGTGTATACTTAAAAGTGTTCATATGTTCATAATCAAAAGGGGAGCGTTCACATGTATTTTAAAGGACGCGTACAATGTACATAAAGTTAATATGCCCAGCTACAGTGGGTTCCTTCAGTATATGATTTAATGACCAGGAGTTCACATTTAAAGGAGTTCACAGTCTTGTGTTCTTTATAAGATTTTATATTTCATGTACACTCATTTTGGGTCTCCCCCCACCAATATTTTGCCCTTGGAGTTGAGATAGGGGGGTCTGATAGACTTTTGACTTTAATGGTTTAGGTGTTACTTCTAGGGGTCGAGGTTTTAAAAAATGTGTTGAAAAATATAGATATAACAAATTTTAAAAATATCGAAAAAAACAATTATGGACGGTATTTTCCGGCTCCATGAGCATCTTTTAATACAAATACTGAAAAGTAAAAAAAAAACATTCTTCTTATAATTTTCAAATGCTAAATAGTTATTGCGGTCACGGTATTTTGACCTATGAGCCTGGAATTCGGTTAAAATTATACCTGCTGGGGAGAGTCCAATTTAAAAAAAAGCACCCTGATTCCTACATGTATGTGATCATCTAAATATTTACATGATACATCAAATATTTATGGCCGGGGGGCAATATCAAACATAAACGGGTCAATCATAGTTACAGTTACAGAGGTCTAGACGCATTTGAAAATTTTGCATGAAACATGAAGACCCGGCCAACTTTTAAGCTACAAAAACCACTTTACTATTTCAGCCCTGGATATAAAGATTTCAACGCGCTTGATTCTAGCTTCAGCTTAGAGGAAGTATTTGGCAAAATTCTATAGATTGATTGATCGTTGTTTACCCTTTAGCCTTCTTTATACATAAAAAGCTTGGAAACCCAGCTTTACGTACCTGCGAACTATACTTGCCCCAAAAATGTTAACCCACCGAACTTAAAATCTATAAACCCAACTAAGAACATTCTTATGGTTTTTACGAGTTCCTCAATCAAAAGCACTTTGCTCAATTTCGTTTCTTAAAAAATGAGCTTGCGTATATCAATTATTTTGTGCTTCTGATAAAGAATTTAAATTTTAACGCGCCAATTTTCTTTAAAAATAAAGAAAATACAATGTTCAATGGTTTACGTACACTATAATTTTTTAGTTCCCTTTACTTCAGATTAAACTTTTTAAGCATAAATCGGAAAAATTTCATCTTGAAATAGTTTGATAATTTGTTTCGTGATTTTCAGAATTATGTGAAAGTTTTTGAAAATTCTGTTTAAAAATGCGGGACAACTGCAAGAAATGTAAGATTAAGCGGTATGACAGCAGTAGAAGCTGCCAAAGTAGCTCTGTAGCAACAGCTGTCACCTCTTTGTCTGTCAGCAAAGGTTAGAATTCTTCGAAAAATGTGAATAATCTTCTGAAATAAAACGAGACATTTTTAATTCAGACACTGAAAAACAATATCAACATATAAATTTCTATACAACGTCCTACCCATCTAATAGCAACAGTACCTACTTTTAACTACTTTCCCACCTCCCTACCTAAGTACCCGCCTACCTAACTTTTACCTATCTACCTGTTACCTACCTCCCTATCTACCTACCTATATTTCTATCTACCTTCCTAACAACCAACCTACTTACCTAACTACCTATCCACGTACCTATCTACTTAGCTGCCTATCTACTTACCTATCTATCTATCTATCTATCTATCTATCTATCTATCTATCTATCTATCTATCTATCTATCTATCTATCTATCTATCAATCTATCTATCTATCTATCTATCTATCTATCTATCAATCTATCTATCTATCTATCTATCTATCTATCTATCTATCTATCTATCTATCTATCTATCCTCCTAACAGCCTAACTACCTGCATACCTACTTTTATGCCTACCTACCTACCTACCTACTATACCTACCTACCTACCTACCTACCTACCTACCTATCTACCTACCTACCTACCCACCCACCTACCTACCTATATGCCTACCTACCTAACTACCTTTCCTATCTAGGTCCTGATGAGCCTGATGACCAAGTTGACCAACTGGATGGCCTTAAATTTCTGGCTGAGAGGGATATGCGTTCTTTGCACAGAGTAAGTCAGTGTTATAGTTTAAAACTTTATATGTATTCATGTACCAGATCAAAATGTATTCATGTACCAGATCAAAATGTATTTATCTACCAGATCAAAATGTATTCATGTACCAGATCAAAATGTATTCATGTACCAGATCAAAATATATTCATGTACCAAATCAAAATGCATTCATGTACTAGATCAAAATGTATTCATGTACCAGATCAAAATGTATTCATGTACCAGATCAAAATGTATTCATGTACTAGATCAAAATGTATTCATGTACCAGATCAAAATGTATTCATGTACCAGATCAAAATGATCAAAAAAAATGTAAGAAAGTCACGTGAAGACATTTTCTGGATGTAAAAGTTTTAATTTAGTCCTAAATTTAATTTCAAACTTTTTACAAATTGTCATTTTTAGTTTCAAAATTTGTAAAAACTGTTTATAGAGAGACTGCAACGATGTTCAGACACAATTCCATAAATGATGTATTTACAGTGAGTATATATATATATATAACTAGGCTTTTAGAGCCCTTCTCGCCCATTTTCTATTTCAATTGTGAACATTTTTTCTTTGTATAGAACTATTTGCTAAAACTAATTGATTTTGATTATCACAAAAAATATATTAAATTTTGTTTAGCACATTCCGGCTCTTGGACGAAAAGATGTTCAGTTTTCGGCAATTCGTCAGCATTTTTACCCAGAAGGGGGCTGGGGGTGGGTGGTTGTATTCTGCAGGTATAGCTTCCCTTTCTAAGATCACATTAATAAAGTAACTGTCGAATGTCCATTTTAAAAGCTTAATACGTACAATTGTCAAACCTTTATTATCCTTTCTAAGTATCGTATCGTTTACTTTAAATACAAAAAAATAGAAAAATTCTGACACTTTCAATCCTTTCCTCTGCTGCATCAATAAACAAGTAACTAAACAACTAGAACAGGCCAATTGACAATTCCATTGAAACCTTTCAATCCTTTCCTCTGCTGCATCAATAAACAAGTAACTAAATAACTAGGACAGGCCAATTGACAATTCCATTGAAACCTTTCAATCCTTTCCTCTGCTGCATCAATAAACAAGTAACTAAATAACTAGGACAGGCCAATTGACAATTCCATTGAAACCTTTCGATCCTTTCCTCTGCTGCATCAATAAACAAGTAACTAAACAACTAGAACAGGCCAATTGAAAATTCCATTGAAATAATTTTTTCAAATTTTTAGTAAATTTTAAAACCAAGCAAATTATATTATTATGTTGCTGCCATCAAAGTCAACCTGTAATTTTTGCTTTATTCTTTTCAAAAATAACCACCAAAATTCACACTGACCCTAGAATTTAAATACATTGCATAAAAATACAATGTTAGATTTATTTTTGAAACTGAAAAAGTAATTTATAATGTGTCAAAATAAGTTTTAGATAAAGGATTAAAATTTTAAAGATTCAAAATAAAAGAAATAAGTTTCTGCCACAAACTCCAGTTTTTCAATTCCTATTTATTTTCAATCCGGTCTCGCAGGTGAACTCTGCCAGATCAAGTATTAAGTTTTAAATATGAAAGGTTTACACCATCAGGTTGCAAAGATACACGGATTAGAAAGGTTGAGTTTGTGGCAAGAACTCAGTTTCTTTAACAAAAACATAACGTTTACCATTAAGTTTCCTTGCTCACTGTTTGACAAGTGGTAACCTACTGGCCGGGGGAGCAATTGCTCTTCAACTACAGAACAATTTCAAGGTAAACAGTTTCGATACCAATTAAGTCATGTCAAACCATAGTAAAAGCATGACAGATTGAAATCTTATGTAATTTTTTAATCATGACTGCTTTTACTGGAAAGCTATTCAAAAGAACAAAATGTTTTTAATGAAACCGGATAAATTTGCGTTTCTCATACATTTGCATTAAATTAAAACTGAAGGTTCAAAGATCACTAAGTCGTGCAAAGTCGCATAAATTCGATCTTCTCCTTCTCGCTAGTTCCTAGTGAAATCCATGATCTTCAATTCCGGTGTATAAACCTTTGATATTTTTTACGTTAACACCAATCTGATTTAGCAGAATGTACACTGTACAGTTTAAAGCATTAAAGATCTAAGACATCAGGTTGCATGTTTGAAGGATTAAAAAATTGTAACTTTGGGGGAATAATCATTTATGGTTTTATCTTCTTTTTAATATTTTCTTGATTTTTTTCTCAGCTGATTACCAAAGCTTAAAACAGCTGGATCAATATAGAAAACATCCTTTGAATAATTTAAAAATCACATTTAAAAAATTTTGAAAATTGACACACCTCATTGAAAATGGGGCTTCCCTTTAAATCTAGAAATTCATTTAATTACATTTTTTAGTGTTAGCTACACCTTAAATTCAATCTCTCAAGTCAAATAAAATTACTTTCATGCTCTGTTTAATTCTTTTATAGACTGGATAAATAACTGGAAACACTGGATATAATAAAACTTCATTGGCTGAATATATAACTGTATAGACTGGATATAGAACTGTAAACACTGGATATATTACGCNTGAATATATAACTGTATAGACTAGATATATAACTGGAAACACTGGATATATTACACCTTAGTTGACTGGATAACTGTATAGACTAGATATATAACTTGAAACACTGGATATATTACAACTTAGTTGACTGAATATATAACTGTATAGCTTAGATATATAACTGGAAACATTGGATATATTACAACTTAGTTGACTGAATATATAACTGGAAACACTGGATATATTATAACTTAGTTGACTGAATATATAACTGTATGGACTAGATATATATCTGTATAGACTGGATATTTATAGAAATATATACTGGATTTATATTGTATAGACTGGAGTTATTTATATATGGACTGGATATATAATTAATTAACAGATCGGGATTAAGGATATCACATTCTAAAGTTTCCAGCTCTGGATATATAAATATTTAAAGTGGATATATGGATATTTAGAGTGGATATACGCATATTTAGACTGGATATATGCATATTTAGAGTGGATATATGCTTATTTAGACTGGATATATGCATATTTAGACTGGATATATGACTGGTGTATGGGCTCCTCTAGTTGCCTGGGTAATAAGTTTAGCAGTAGCTCCCTTGGTTACCCATATATGCAGGTAATAATACAGATTATATTAAACAATAAACAAACCAATTAAGTTTGGAACGAAATTAATTTGGATTTCCAATGCTAAAGGGACTGTAAGCGTAATTTCAAGTGACTCTCCGTGCAGAGATGGCAATTCTCGATTTTATATTTACCCTTTAAATATAAAAGTGAAAGTTAAAATTTGTTTTTCTGACAAAAAAACGTTTAATTTTTAATGTTTGATGTATTGAAGTGATGACATTTGTTTTTGAAATAACTTTTTTATGTGTAAAATTAAAAGGAGTTACGAGATCGCAAAATCCTTATTTTTTTAATATATTTTGGCGCCATTGTACAATTAAAATTGTTTAGTCAGTATTCTGTTCGTCTGATAGCAGTGGTGGCTGGTCTAGTATTAAATATGGCATTTCTATTCGCGTCTTTTGGATCCCAGCTTCATCAGGTTAATTAGAGGCATTCAGGGACATTTTTAGGAATATTTAGGTACATTTTCAGGGCATTTTTAGGAATATTTTCAGGGTCAATCTCAGGGATATGTCATGGGTATTTAGGGGTATTTTCAGAAGTATTTTCAGGAAAATTTTCCAGGTAATTTTCAGGGGTATTTCACAGGTATTTAAGGGTATTTTCAGGTGTATCTTCAGGAGAATTTCAGGTGTTTTTCAGGGGTATATTTAAGTGGTATTTTCAGGGGTATATTTAAGTGGTATTTTCAGGGGTATTTTCAAATACAAAATATTGTGTATTATTTTATGTTTTATTCTCTCTCTTTTTTCCTTTCTTTTTTTACATCTCGGATTGAAGGAATCTATGTATTTTATCCTGGAGTTTATTCCTTTATGTCTAAACTTTGGAATTGTTGAAATTGGTAAAACTCCGTTTTATTTGTTATGTTATTACAAGCAGTGCAATATTCAGAGTAATTTACAATGTTTTTAACACTTACAACTCTTGATATTGCAGGGGGTGTTACTATTAGGATTAAATTTACTGCAGGGCGTCCTAGGATTAGTTTATTCCAGGGTGTCGTAGGATTAGTTTACTCCAGAGTGTCGTAGGATTAGCTTACTGCAGGGTGCCCTAGGATTAGGTTTTACTCCAGGGTGTCCTAGGATTAGGTTTTACTCAGAGGGTGTCCCAGAATTAGGTTTTACTATTGGGGTGCAAGTATAAAATTACATTCAACCTGCTGATTAATATTAAAACCTACCATCGTCCCATCCCCCCCTTCCCTTACCTCATAACGTTTACAATATTCCATTTCTCTTGTTTATTCTCTACGGGAAGTGTTAGTTGGAAAGTTTTAAAAATTGTTTCATTTTTGATAAATATTTTATTTTTGATAAATGTGAAATGCGCAAAATTGTGGATATATAATTCCTTTGAGAAAATGATAAATATGTGGAATAAAATATCGTTTGTATTCAACTCAATGTCACATAATCATGTTTTTATACATATGATCATGAAGACCAGATTTAATAATTAGTAAGAATTAGTTAAACCGCTTTTCTTGAGCGACGGGTATAAAACACATGATGCTATGCTAGTTTATTTCACATTTTCTCTTGCAGTTTGTTTATACAATTTTGTTTGTTTCTTCATTTAAAAAGAAAAGTTCAGGAGAGATTTAGAATCTGATATCGAATGCTGATGAATTAAGACAGATACAGAATAAAATTAAAGATTCAATTTGATGGATTCACACTTATTAAGATAAATCTGGTGGATTATCGAGTAAGGGTTGCATACATTTATATATAAAACTAGCTATAGAGCCCGGCGTTGCCCGTGGAAAAAAATATGATTTAAAAAAAAAAATATTAAGATGAGAGAAGAAGAAGGAAANTTCAACATATGAGTTAAAAAGATATAGAGATTAGAAAACTGTTAAATAACTAAATTATACGGTATATATTTTGAAGTGATTTTAATTTGGGTAAATCAATGAATCACACTAAAATTTCTTCAATTTTTTGATAATCTATCTATATAATTAAACAAGTCATATTCGTATATATGTTCCTTATATAAAGCCGGCCAGACGGTTGGACCGAATGGGCTGAAATTTTTTGAGGGAACCCATGGGTACCCTGGGGGTAATAAAAGCTCAAAAAATCCTAATATTTGCATCTTCAAAATTTGTTTTCCCAATTCCACGGGCTCTTGAGTTAGTATTTTATAAAATCAAAACTTAATAATAGAATTAGAAAAATGAATACAAGCTCTCCAAAATGTGGTTCACTGGTTTACCGCATTTGAAAGAGAGAAAACTTAGAAGGTTAATAAAACTATAAGAAAGATATTCTTAATATCTCAATCAGTGTTGATTGAAAATTTTCTCTGTCTTTGCCAACCATTCAGTTTACCATTAAAGACTTTATCTAAAAAATTGGGAACCCAGCCTTGCCTGAAGTTTCCCCTATAACAAAAGCCCCGTTTTTAGACTTTAGACCTTGTGCCTTTCAAGATAAAAAAATATATTCCCGTGTATCTACCAAGTTCCACAAACAAACTGTGAGACAATTCGGTTCAGAAGTTCATGAATTATGATAAGACATCTAAACTAACAGAGATTACTACATTATATATAAAGAGAAAATACATTTTTTTTGTTATTAGGTTGTACTAAGCTACGGTGTACTGCTAGGAGCGGCATCCGGAACGGTGCGGGAAACCTGTAGTATAATGCTAGGACAGGTACAGTACAGCTAGACTAAAAAATCCATTACAACAAAACACAATTCTTCATCAAAGGGGATTTCTCAAAAAATCGGATAATTAGGAAACAACCGTTAGCTGTGAGTATACAATTCTCAATATTCCTATTAATATACATTTAGGAGTACTGTCCAATCTGGACTACCCAGTGTAGAGTCGACCCAGCTGCACGTTTTATGCAACAAATGTAACCTGGCAAGACACTATTTAGCATTGTACTTGAATATTTATAATTGTACTTGAATATTTAGAATTGTACTTGAATATCTAGAATTGTACTTGAATATTTAGAATTGTACTTGAATATTTAGAATTGTACTTGAATATTTAGAATTGTACTTGAATATTTATAATTGTACTTGAATATTTAGAATTGTACTTGAATATTTATAATTGTACTTGAATATTTATAATTGTAGTAGTAGCCTTAAAATTTTAAGGCTACTAATTTATCGTATTTAGTACTACGATATGCATACGCACATATATAAATGTGACCAAAACCCCATTACAGAAAAAAAAAATATTTAAATTTACATTTCTCCAACTCATATTTCATGTTGCATACAGGTTTTGCACTCAACATGTAAATATATAAATATTATGCAAAATATAAATCTAAATCATATTGTGCAAGGTATGAACCAGCATAGGGTAATTTTAAATAAAACTTTTCTAATAAAAAAGTGTCCAGGGATATTTGCGTTTTTTACTCCGTTTTTAAACAAAACAGATTTTTGTGAACGTTTTACAGTTTTATTTAAACCAAAAATGATTCTGCATAAAATTGTACTGAAAAAGCTAGTGTTAGAGTTAAAAATGGGCACAAATTCAAAAACTGGCTTTTTAGGATCCTGACCCATTTTGAGAGTAAAAGTAGATAATAAAAACTATAACTACCATTTTATTAAGCATGACGAGGACAACAATTCCAATTTAAATTTTCTGAAATCAAAATTAAAAAATAGGAGTTCTTTTTATATTAAAACCCTTGACCGTTTTCAAGACAATGTCAGGTTAGCGGATTTTATGAAAAAAAAAGTTCGTGGATTTTCAAACTTAATGAAAATCGAAATTTGTTGGAGGTTAATTTTTGAAATTTTGATCATCCATAAACCTTTTCTGGGGTCATGTACAAAATTTATACCGATTGGTTCAGCCGTTTTGACGTTTATTGGATACAAACTAGCAGACAGACAAACAGACTAACAAAGTATGATTAAGAACACATTGATATTAATCACGAAATTTTTAATAAATTCTATTTATTTTAGTACTTCAAGTCCCGACGGTTATTAGTTGAAGTATTCGTGAGCTGCGGATCCGGTTTAGGAGTCATAATCTTTAGTCTTTTATACAAAGAATCCATCAGGTAATGATAATAATAATAATAATAATAATATTAATAATAAGAATAATAAGAATAATAATAATAATAATAATGATAATAAAAATACCCTGTAAAACTTAAAGTTTAATGAGTAAAAATTTCTGAAAATTTACCGATTTTGGTTGCGCGTTCATACAAAATTTACTTTTGCGAATTTTTGCAGTGGAGAAAAGGACGGAATTTTTTTTCTGTTGAAAACAGAAAACAAATATATCTTCCTTTTAGTAGAGGTCCACTTGAAATAGAAGATTCTACCCCATTTAGTGTAGTTTCTTCTTGCAAATACATTTTCTTTCTTCATTTTATTTGTAAAAACCACTTCCCTTGACTTAATTCCAATAATGTATTGACTTTTTATTGATTCTACTCCTACACTTTACACTTTATAGTTCTCCTCTTATACTACTATCTACTCCTACACTTTACACTTTATAGTTCTCCTCTTATACTACTATCTACTCCTACACTTTACACTTTATAGTTCTCCTCTTATACTACTATCTACTCCTACACTTTACACTATATAGTTCTTCTCTTATACTACTATCTACTCCTACACTTTACACTATATAGTTCTCCTCTTATACTACTATCTACTACTCCTACACTTTACACTATATAGTTCTCCTCTTATACTACTATCTACTCCTACACTTTACACTATATAGTTCTCCTCTTATACTACTATCTACTCCTACACTTTACACTATATAGTAGGGTAGACATAAATTTTTAAATATTTCTTTCCAGTCATGCAACAAATAAATAAATAAAAAAAATTTGTATATACATATATTATAATATAATGCGCAACAAGGAAGACAGATCTGAATATATCTAGCTTTTGTGCATACCATGCACTTGGGTAGCCGAGACCCGCCGGTACAAATTAATATACGGGACAATTGCACTGTACCGGTAAATCCTTGTACCGGTTCGGATCATACAACCGTAGTACTGTAATGAGACTAGAAACCAGGCCCATATCTTTGATTACAAAACAAGTGTACTGCAGTTTCTGGGAGTAATGTAAACAAACTTACTGCTGATCAGACCAAGTTTTGGTTTATCCCTGCACCAGATCAAAACGAAAAATTTAACAACAAATATTCGATAAACTAATTTCTTGTTTAGGAATATATTTCCCAACAGAAACCATTGATGTAAGCCAATGTAGAATAGATTATTTGTTTATCAGTGTTATCTTTGATGTTTTTTTAGATGTATTTGCAGACTTCTTCAATTGCCATCTTTTCAATTTTTGAAAAGAAAACCTGTGACAGCGTTCCTAGGGAAAATTATGATTATTTTTTATCAAATAATAGTCTAAACCTGATTTTCTGCCAACCATTCCTTCTGGTGAACAAACAAATTTATAATTTTATTTAAAAATTATAAACCGCTAAAACGTCTGATTGGTATCATCAGATGAATCCTGAAATTGTTCTCTATTATACTTTACTCTTGGTTCATATACGTTACCTAGCCGGTCTCCCTTTAAAAATACTTCGGAAAGATTTCCAGGTTCTTTGAAATATTCACATGAGCAGAACATGTACTAGAGATCTAGAGTTAATATAGTTGAACTGAGAAGTTACCAAATATTTTCTAGAAGAATAATGATATGTCTAAAGTCTAAAGTTTAACAATTTAAAGGAATTGAGTCTTACTTCTCACCACAGCTATAATACGTCCGGTAAACTAAAACTACAACTTCTTGTCTCAATAGTGAACAAATTGACGGTGTTAAGGACGTCTGAATTCTAGCACGCATATATATATATATATAATAACAAATGTGGAAGAATTAATCGTTGATAAGTTTTTAATTCTAATAATACATATATGCTTTCCTGCAGTAGAAATGCACAAGGCCATTTTGTAACTAGAACCCACAACTAAAAAAAATTGTTTTTATAATGATAAAGAATGATATCTCTTATAGTTCCTGTAAAGAAAAAATTGGAATGAAATATGGTTTTCAAATCTTGGTTTTAGTTAATGGTTTTAATTTAGACCTCTCACTTCTCAAATATATGGTTCGTGATGTTAGCTTGAAACTATTTAAGTATTATTATTATGATTATTTTATTATTTATTAGAAAAATAATGTATTCTTCTTCTTCATCTTTATTATAATCCTTAAGTACACAAAATATGAATAAAACTATCATTTATTCTGCTGTTTCAAAGAAAATGCATAATGAATTCTATAAAATTGCAAATTATATTATGATGTTTAATTTTATATTACTCAACCATTTATTTTAAAAATAATTTTTAAAAATCCACTTTCAAATTGCAATTCGCAAGGAAGGTATTCAGTTTAAATTACAATTCTTTGATTTTTTAATAAAATAGTAAAATAGTAAAAATAAAAATTGTTTAGCCTCGAAACAACTTTTATTTACTTTATTTGTTGTGTGTCAATGTTTTTACAATAACTATGATGAGTTTTTAAAGAATATGTATAATATTAAACACTTGTTCATCCTTCAATGTCTACAGATAGAAATCATTATATGCATTTAAACAAACATTAAACCTATCTAGCTGAGGTTTTAAAGGCGGGGGGGGGGGGCGTCCAACATACTCCTCCCAAAAATGCTGGGCCCGTACAAGACAAACTTAAAAATCGGTGCACGTTAAACTAAAGTATATTGTACGAATAGATTGAAATCTCCTCGTATTGAAGAGCTATCGAGAAGAAGACAAATGCTTTGAATTTCCAATATAAAACCAGAATTGAAATCTTTTAAACGTTTTTGATATCCAAGAAAAAAGTAAAAAAATTTAACCAATCAGCGTGTCATGTTCAGATGTACTCTTTAACTTTTGAAAAACCGGTTTTGATTTCTAGTGTTGATGGTGTCATATCAATTGAACTAAACATCGGTTAAACGAACGTAAGTTTCGGATTAATGTTTATTAAGAATAACGTTCAAAATGACAATAGTCCTAAAATATGTTTTTTTCTTCATATTAACATGAATAAATTTATATTTGTTTAAATGATCTAAAAGACGACTTTAATTCAATTTGTATTAGTAGAAATATCCTAAAAGAGGATTAAGAAGAAAATCAAAAGTGTGTACATTGGATAATCAGATTAAGCGATCGTGATTAAGGATATCTCCTTTTAAAGTTTTCAGAGCTGAAAACTTTAGAATGGTGGATATCGGGATTAAGGCTTAATCCACTCTTTTTCTTAATCTCGAGAATAAATATTGCTTGTTTCTCCTCTCATTTTTAATCTCCAGATTAATTATCCGATCAGGATTAAGGATATCCCATTCTAAAGTTTTCAGCTCAGCTCAGATAAATTTGCTATCTCATATTTGAACGTGATATCAAAACTAGAGACGCTACTAGGTCACAAAGACGCACCAGAAATTTAGCATAAAATTGACCTTCGCCCTAGCTGTCTAGTTTGGAGGGGGGGTTAAGAGTGTACTGTTTACTCCATTGTTTAGAATATAAAGAAGTTTATTTTGTTTTGTTTCTTGTATCATTGTATATAATATATATGCAGATATAATGTATCATATCTGAGGGAAATACTATTCATTATGAAATAAATAATTGGCACAGAAGATGTGTGAAGGGGGGGGGGAGAGAAGCCCAATGGTTTTTGCCATAAAGTAAATATTTATTCTGCCTATATTTTTGCAACCTGATGGTTTAAATCTTTGATATTTAAAACTTGAATTATCTATCCCAAATAAACAGAATTCATAGTTTGTAATTTCAAAAGTCTACAACATAAAATATAAAATTATTTCTATATTTATTAATTATTATTCATAAAACTAAACAAATTATTAAAAACTAAAAAAAATAATTGCACTAATTATGCTAAATTTGTTCTCTAAACATAGAAATTAACCAAAACGAATTTTCTAAACAATGTGAAAAAAAGCTTTGGTAAATATCTTAGGTCAGAGTAAAATTAGGCATAACGTAATAACAACATACCTATCCAGTATCCAGCATTTAATTTTAAAAATAGAATTAACATTAAAAATTTCAGATTCTTAAAAGAAAAAAAACTTTATTATAATTTAGAAACCATTTCAACAATTCATGAATGTAAATAATTCATCAATCAGCAATTCAGCAAAAAACTGGAAAGAATTGTTCGAATGAGTAGTAGATGATGAAATGATTAAAGGGACCGTTCACTTATTTGGGTAATTTTAGGTAAACTAAACAGCCTATTCGCTCTTGATTGGTAATAGTCTTACTTTTAAAAGACAACTGTGGCCGGAGAAAAAGCCGATTTTTCGTTCAGAATTTGAGCGGAAACGGACGGTCCCTCTCTATAGACACTATTTGATGTTTTTTTTCAGTAACAGCAGCCCAATAACATTTAAATTTATTATATTTTAATGTCATGTGTTCGTTATTATGTACTAAAATATGAAAACTTTTGATATTTGAGTTACCAAGAAATTTACATTTTTCGCATTAAAACATGTAAAATGTGTATACAAAGACGACATCTCTCCGACATCAATTAATCATTACTCGTATTTAGGTTCGTAGATTTTGTAATTTTTTTCCCGCATGTTCACAACTTTTCATTTGTCATGCCGCGTTCAATTCAACTTTTTACACAGGCAATACACAATTTTGAATGCGATAAAATAGTTTTATTTTAGAAATAGAAAGTTAAAAAACAACAAAAATTAAAAAAATAATGAAATTAACAATTAACGATTAGATACTACAGTTTAATTTTATATTCGAAATTTATTTTGATCCACAGCATACTGAAAAAAACATCAATTAGTGTCTATAGAGAGGGACCGTCTCTTTGCGCTCGAATTCTGAACGAAAAATCGGCTTTTTCTCCGGCCACAGTTGTTTGTGAAAAGTAAGACTATTACTAATCAACAGCGAATATGCTGTTTAGTTTACCCTGAAATTACCCAAATAAGTGAACGGTCCCTTTAAGCATTCATAAATATTTTTTGCTTAGATTCCTTGGCTGGAGATTAGGTCTGCAATCTTTACAAGGTCTGTTCCTTGTTTCCTTCTTCCTTGGTTTGTTCTATAGATCAGCTAGCCTATACCATCCTCAGGAAAAAGCATCTATCTATCTATATCCCAGTCAAGGTTGATGTATGCTCAGAATTACAAAAAATTGTCACAAACAAATTTTTTAATCCATGAAAAAATTTTAAATCCGAACTTTTGTTTTTGTTTTATCGAAGAGAAAAAATGCTAAACGATTGAGCAACAATAAAAAGTTAAAAAATGAGATGGGTACGAAGCGCACTGGGGGCCTATATAGTATTCTATTGGTGTTTAAAATTCTATTGGTGTTTAAATTAATAAATATAATAGCCGACAACTTTTACCGAACAAGTCTCAATATAAAGAAACAATTTTGTAATTGAATTTTTTTGGCTAATTCAATAGTAAGAATTTAAGGGATTTAGAAAGAAAAACTTAATAAATAAGTTTATTTGAATATGCTTTCACGTCTAGAGGGACGCTATCTCCCATATCAAACATCAGAAAGAGAAAGTAAAATCAAAATCATTTAACAAAGAAAAAAGGTTAGAATATTGATTATTCATAAATATTAATAATTCATAAAAAAACATATCAAAACATATCAAGGGGATAGAATAGGGATATTAAGGGTTTGAAATGGGCATCGTCTTTGTGAACGAACGATTTTTTTTGTGAAAAAAGATGTCGTTTAGAAAAGAAATTAAAGATGGATGAACGACAATTGTTCATTGAGAAAACAAACAAAATAAGTTGGAAAATGAACGATAATTTTGAGAACGAACAAAATCAATTTTTTTAACGATTGCAGAGGACCGAACAAAATGGGCCTTTCATGAATGATGAATGAACAAAATGGATAAAAAGCGAATGCGCCATCTATATTTAGGGGTGTACTAGACATGTCAAAGGGTTTACTAGAAGACAATGACTCACTAGAAACAAATCGCGTTACGAAATTGTGTTACAAAATCGCGTTACAAAACTATCATTTATTGTTTCAGTGAGCGGAAGAAGATGCGCTTGATAAATCTATCCTTGATCCTTGAACCTAATATCAGGATATATCTGGCCTCTATGACTCTTTCTGCAGGAGGAATATATACACCTGTTTTCATCATGGTAAGTTAAGAGACTACTTGGCGGTATCTTATATGACCCTTTTGTTGCCTAATTTAATTCAATTTGTCTAGGGAATCCGTTGCGCGGAATTGTGCGCAACTGTACGAAATTGCGCGCTATTGTTCTAGTATTGCGCTGAATTGTGCGCAAGTAAAATCCCTTCACAAAAATAAAAAAATGGTGGGTTATCTGTGAAGACTTTTGGATCGAAGCACCAAAGACGTTTCCAGAATCTCTAGCAACTCTAAACTCTTACGATGGATAAGCGACTATAAATATCTTACTTCATGCATGAAGTAGGAGTTTTGAACATCGATTTTGCGCTCAAACTAAGGATTTACAGATCTTTAAAAAGTTTAATATGTCTCAAATGAATCCGGAAGACGTTTTCCACAACACTGTATACTCAGTTCATCTACCATACATAGCTGGTTACGTTTTGCTATTTCTTATTCTTTACACCATAGAGAAAGACCACAAATCTTGATACCAGCATCTTTTAATTAAGCACTATATTAATTAAATACTAATCATAAAAAGATTTTATTATTTTAAATGAATTTCCTTAACCCTATCTCTGCTGGGGTACTTGAAAACCAATTTGACCCCCCTCTAAATCCCATGTTTGATGTCCAAATATGACAAATGATACATCATTGGAAAGTTCTTGTGCTCTACTATTAGAATCTACAAAAAAATTGGCAAATTTATTATTTAATTATGAAAAATTATACATTTTATACAATTTTATACAATTTGTACATTTTAAATAACCTGATTTTTAATCAAGAAAAACTAAAAATGTGTAAATTTCCTTTGACAGGTTGTTTGCAAAAAATTTGCAATTTTTTTTCGCAAAACTTGTGCAATTCGTTTTCTTATGTCAAAGGCTTTCAAAAAAGCTAAATTTTATCAAAATCTGACAAGTGGAAGTGGGTCAAAACAAAGCTTTAGTTTGTTACAGGAAAAATCTGTCATTCAGGCAGTGTGCCTGAGGACTCAGGCATTTATCAATAAAGCCCGGTTTTAGGCCTAAAGGGAGGGCTTTGGTTATGTAGCAAAAGTCATAAAATTTCAACAGCCTCAGATAAATACTTTTTGAGTTATGCAAAAAAAACTACAGGGGGGGGTCAAAATCCCCCCCCCCCCCAGCAGGAATAGGGTTAAATTAAACAAATTTTCCAGATGGCTATTTATAAAAAAAAATTTATTGATAAATGCTTTTAAATACGGGTACTAAAGTGATATTTATAATATTGACAAAATCTTTTTTATAAAAACAGTAAAATATTACGCGTGATGTATTTAATGAACATTATTCAATGATTTTAAGTACATAAATAATAATAAAATAACAATAATTCTAGTAGGTTCAAGTTTCAAAATAAATAAAAAAAGTTTAAATAATTTGTTTTGGTTATAATCCATATATTTCAGTCTTATATTCTAGTTAAATAGTTACAGTAAATTACACAAAATGAAGATTATTAAAGGGACTGTAAGCGTAATTTCACGACAGTACCTTGAACAAATTTAATTGATTAAGCTGTTGATTGCAAGCTGTTGATTGCAAGCTGTTGATTGCAAGCTGTTTATTGCAAGCTGTTGATTGCAAGCTGTTTATTGCAAGCTGTTGATTGCAAGCTGTTGATTGCAAGCTGTTGATTGCAAGCTGTTTTACATTTCAAAAATTTTAATAATTACTTTCTAGAAGTGGCAGAATATAAATATTCAAATTCAAATTATCAAAAATTTATTTTAAAAACATTATCCTCTTAATCTTATTTTCCTGTTCAAGCCTTTTTAAAAAAGTTCTATATTTCCAATTTTTAGCCTTTGCACCTGACAGGAGAGGGAGAGATGGAGCATTTTCCACTTCTAGGAGTTTGGTTGGGTTTATCCATGCTAGTTGGATCTTTAGGTGGGTTCATTAATATATAGTTTGGTTGGGTTTATCCATGCTAGTTGGAAAATTTAGGTGGGTTCATTAATATATAGTTTGGTTGGGTTTATCCATGCTAGTTTGATCTTTAGGTGGGTTCATTAATATATAGTTTGGTTGGGTTTATCCATGTTTAGGTGGGTTCATTAATATATAGTTTGGTTGGGTTTATCCATGCTAGTTGGATCTTTAGGTGGGTTCATTAATATATGATTTGGTTGGGTTTATCCATGCTAGTTGGATCTTTATGTGGGTTCATGAATATATTATTTGGTTGGGTTTATCCATGCTAGTTGGATCTTTAGGAGGATTCATTAATATATAGTTTGGTTGGGTTTATCCATGCAAGTTGGATCTTCAGGTGGGCTCATTAATATATAGTTTAGTTGGGTTTATCCATGCTAGTTGAATCTTTAGGTGGGTTAATTAATATATTATTTGGTTGGGGTTATCCATGCTACTTGGTTATCTATTTAGGTGGGTTCATTAATATATCATTTGGTTGGGTTTATCCATGCTACTTGGATCTTTAGGTGGGTTCATTAATATAAAGTTTGGTTTGGTTAATCCATGCTACTTGGATAGATACTGATAATTTTTTCTATACTCGTCTAAGGTAATAATTTGATTTTATTTGAATATTTTGAAAAAATCCCTTTTTTCTAATTTTACATCAATATTTGCTTGCTTATTAATTCTGAAAAATATCAACATATCAACATAGTCGCATATATTCGCATCTTTTTAAAAACAGTTTGTTAATTTTTCCAATTTGTACGAAGTTCAAAGGGACGGTAAAACGTCACCTTCCATTGTTAAATGTGCGATTCACATCTGGACCCTTAAAATATTTATCTGGATCACTCCCATATGATAATGACACTCCCTTAAAAGTCTTATCTTTTCTGGGCCTGGAGAATACTGCAGATTTCTTAATTTTAATTTGGTTTAAATTTTTATTTAGAATAGATTAAAGAGAAATTAATTTGAATTTCTTGCTGAAAGCTTCGTAAAAACTTATATCGGACAGTAAAGTTTAAACCATTTTATAAATCACCAAAAATCTTGTATTTATGATATAAGTAAAAAACTTAAAAATATTTTACTACCGCCAACTTTTCTCTTAACATCACTTTGTGATTTTTTTTGTCTTGACTAATTTGAAAACACTTTTTTTTATTTTTTAGATATTTTGCTACAGTTTAGTTTCTACAAAAGAGTTCTCCAGGGTTTGGAGTTTTGTCCAAGCTTTGCAGTGTATTCCTGTTATTATTGGAGTGTCAACAGCAGGTTTTGTATAAAAGGGAGAGGCCGGCTAGGTATGGTAGTTGAAATGAAAGTGCAGTATTGTCAAGAAAGCTTTAAAATTCATTTGATACCAATGAGATATTTTTACGGAGGACAATGTTTAAATATAACCGTAAAGTTGTTTGTAATATTTCACCAATTTCACACGCACATCTAAAAGTAAATTCAACCTAAAGTCTGACCGCGTCAACCTTGTTGCACCGGCTAGTCCTTTGCTTTATTTACCCAATGTCCGGGCGATACAGTACAAAACTGGGACCGGAAAGGTTGACCCGCATCGGAAATTCAAATGTTCTACGGCTGCCCGTGTTCAATCCGCAGAAGATATATTTTTTAAAATACTGCATTTTCAGCTCAACTACCATGTCCAGCCGGTCTCTCCCTTTAAAGGGACTGTTAAGATTGTTTCAAGAAACCTTAGGCTCGTTTAAAGATTGCCATGTGAAAAAAGATAAATTCTGTCATTAAAAAAGAAGAAGGATGTTCTATTAAGGTTTCGTCGATTGTCTCTTTATTGCTAAACGTTTTTTACAATTTCAAACAAAGAATCTTGACACATACAAACACTCTGTAAGAAATAAACTCCTTCATCCTGGATTGTACAACAGGGTCGCCTACAAAGGAGACTTCAAAGTGGACTTTACAAAACTTAATGAGTCTTTTTCTTAGATTCCTGAATCACTTAAGATGCATACTTATTTCTATCATTGCTAGATCATTTTATATACCTTTTAAAACGTGATTAAACATGAAAGTCCAAACTAAACCCTTACATCGATCAACAGATTTAAACAGTTTTAGGCCGTTATTGAAACTTTATCCTGAGTGGGTGACTCTGGAGATAAATCTAAAAATATTATTTCAATTTGACAATGGCAGATTTAGAAATTAATTAAAGATTAATTTTGCTTTCGAATTCGACCAATAACAATATTTTTCACTAAATTTAATCATCTAATCTAAACCTAATATATTCGTTATTGTTTGATATATCAAGTGTATATGTTATTAGGTTGTATAAACTGTTTTTAGGTTATACAAACTGTTTTTAGGTTATATAAACTGTTTTTAGGCTATATAAACTGTTTTTAGGTTATATAAATGAGACATATGGAAAACCGGGTTACTGGATTTCTTTAGTACTTATTTCATTTGGTGAGTCAAAGATTTAGAATCCATTTTAATCCAAAACTTTTTTTAAAAAAACATCAGCAAAAGATTTTAAAAGTTAAGTTTTAAAAAGCAAATCGGTCAAAGTTGATGTTTCTTTAAAAAGCTTTAAATCATCATGATGGTCTAATAGGGCGTGATACAGTACGGGCGCGCAGCCGTAGTACATTTGAATTTCCGAGCCGTTTCAACCTTTCCGGTCCCAGTTTGTACTGTACCTAGCTCTATGGGCTCCATATAGGTTGAATTTACTTTTACTAAAGGGGGATAGGTGCGTGACAGAGCAGATTTTTAATATATCACTAAGAGGTGCGACTACGGGTCTGATCAGTTTTCAAAATGGTTTTGTTTAGGATTTCTTTATGTTTTTAATCCGTTGTGGACCTATTTTGTAAAAATAATATAGATGAACTATGTATGGCTAGTTCAACCACTTCTCTACTTTAAGGGAGTGACAGGCAATGTGTGGTAGTTAAACTAAGAATGTAGTATTGTGGAGAATTTTTTAAATACTCATTTGACACCGGGGTTCAAAAAATAATTAATAACGACGACGAAAAATGTAGTAAAAATTCTACTGTAAACTTATTAGTTGTTGAGGAACAGGTTAAAAAAATAAAAATTATCTATTATTATTGAAAATAAGTAATCTTATTCAGTTATTGGTTTCTGTAATGTTTCATTTTTCACATTTCTGTAAATTTCCTGGATTTTTTTATTGAAAAGACATCGTTTAAAGAATTTAAGGAAATCTGTGAACAAATTCACAAAGAATAAGAAATTCAATACAATGACGAAAAAGAAATTGATAAATTGATAAAATCTTAATGGAGAAATATGTTTTTAAACATCTAATTAGTTTACTGTAGACTTTTTTTTGCATTTTTTGTCGTCGTTTTTTTAATGATTTAAAAAAAATCGATTCTGAAAACGTGACCACCAAAATGAATGATTTTGAACGTCGACTTTGCGTTCACACTCATTAATTATACATCATTAAGAGGTTTTATATGTCTCCAATGAATCCTAAAAAAGTTCTCTACAATACTATAACATTCTCAGTTCAACTACCATAAATTGAAGGTCGCTCCCTTTAAATCTCAGCCACACCAGAGAGAACTAGTTCAAAAATTAGTTCGTCTACTTCTCACTATTCATTAATTCCGACCTTAGCTTGATTACAGTGAGTGCAATATTTACAGGAGGTGGTCTTCTATCCCTCCTGCCTCCCCTGGAACAGGTTCCTATTCAGATTATAGAACAGCAGGAATATGAGGTAAACCCTTTAACCCTGTTCAGCTTATAGAACAGCAGGAATATGAGGTAAACCCTTTAACCCTATTCAGATTATAGAACAGCAGGAATATGAGGTATACCCTTTAACCCTATTCAGATTATAGAACAGCAGGAATATGAGGTAAACCCTTTAACCCTGTTCAGCTTATAGAACAGCAGAGATATGAGGTAAACCCTTTAACCCTGTTCAGATTATAGAACAGTAGGAATATGAGGTAACTATGGAATGTACAAGCCAGGAACTATACCGAGAGCGTACTGCATATTTGTTTATTATAAGGAGATTCTGGCCTAACCTATAGTGTATCATTATTAGTAAACAGTTGTAAGTGTACAGTACAGCTAACTGAGCACACAGGTAGAGAACTATCATCCCCCCTGATTGGAACGCATCCAGAGTATTTAACCTTACTTTACAACCTTGAGGTAAACACTTAAACCATATCCAGATTGGGACATTTTTTAAGTAGATAAGGAGGGGGGGGGGGTCTTCTTTTCCTGTTAAAAAAAGTTTTAATTTAAGTGTTGCTCTGAATGTGGGCCATTTTTTAATTTTTTTCTCATATTTCAAAATAACAATTTTGATTTCGAACCAATTTAGGTTGAGGATGTGCTAAGATGCTCGGATTTGGCGGATTTAGCAGATCTAGGGGATTTTAACAATCTGTCAATGTCGTGTAATAGTAAAATGGAAAGATTTATGCCAAATGATAGTAAATCCTCAAGGTTTGTATTTTAGTTCAAGATTGATTTAAATGCAAATGCAATGAGATAATTATTCTAAGTGTTTATGATTATCATCTATTACACATTTTTTAACTTCTCTAAAAATAGTTGATGATTAAAATCTAAATTATACAAAGTTCCCTGGCAACTTTTGAGGATACTTTAAAAAAAATTGCCAAAAAAAATAGAAAACCCCAAAAAAACAGTAAAATTTTGTACGATCTGGCAATATCCTACAATTATTTTTATTTTCCTATTATTATTTCTATTATTATTTAAAATAATCAGTTTTTTAATTTATATTTGTTCAGAGCTGGCAATATTCGACGGCTATCCGTGTTTTCCTATTCGGACCCGGAACGACTCTCAGACTCGTATTACAAGGCACATAAAATCTTTTTAAAAATGCATTAAACAAAAACTATTACACAAAAAAATTACTGTTTTTATACTGCATTTTCACTGAAAAGCTAACCAATCTTTGAACCTACGATTTTTTAAAACTTGATTTAAAGAGATTTATGTTTTTTTTATAGACTCCTGTTGTAATGGAGAGACAAAGCAGGCAAACATATTATTTAGATATACAGGGTATATACAGGGTCACCCAGAAAGGATAAGACTTTAGTGTAACCTTTAATCAATACTTCCAGAAAATTCTCTCTTCCCTTTTGGGGGTGCATATATTTGCGTAGATTTTAATTTAAGAAATCAGAAAAAAACAGAATGTAAAGAAAATACATGAAATAATACTTCTTAACAAAAATATTGGTATGCACAAAACCGTCTGATCCCATACTGGGTTTCATTACAATAATAGCTCTGTCTTAAGTTTCGGGCTCAATTTTCATTTTAACAGTTAAACTCATAATATTGAGGGGTAAATAATACTTGTTTTAATCTTATGTTCAAAATACATCAAAGAAAGTATAGGATTTTTTTTTTTTTTGGGGGGGGGTGAGGAAAATGTTATTGAATGATACTAATAAGCTTAAATGTTTTGTTGTTTAAAAAATTTAAATGATATTGTTTAAACAGTGTACACTTCCACCCTGAAACCTTGTACAGCACTGCAAGCCAGGGCGAAGATGTAAACATAAACAACCAGTACAGTAAACCAAGCCTTCGTATGTACAACGATCCCGCAGAATGGAATGCTTCAAGATCTAAAAAAGAGACAAGAATTGGAGATAAATCAAGAATGGGACAAGATCCAAGATTTGGACAAGACAAAGGGTTGGGACATGATACAGCAAAGGGACATGAGACAAGAATCGGAGTAGAAACAGGAATGGGACACGAGAATAGGAATGAACAGGAAACTATTATTAGACAAGAGCCGTTTATTAGACAAGAGACTAAACAAGAACAGATGGATGTTAAAGGACAAGAAGTTAGGCTAGGACAAGAAACAAGACTAGGACAAGAAGCAAGACTAGGACAAGAAACAAGACTAGGACAAGAAACAAGACTAGGACAAGAAACAAGACTAGGACAAGAAACAAAATTAGGACAAGAAACAAGACTAAGACCTGAACGAATATCTTTTCCTCAAGATATTCTTGTAATAGATCAGATCACTTCAACTGTTTAAAAAGGTTAGATTCTCGTTATAAATATACAAAAGAAACTTACTTTTTGCCATAAACTCTAGACTTCCAATCCCATATAATAACAAATAGATAATCTAAGTCTGAAATATCAAAGATTTTTACCAAAGATATAGAGATAGGACAAATTAAGTCTGTTGCAAAAACTCAATTCAAGTGCGGCAATGTCATTCATATTTCCACCATTGCACCATAATGCATGGGGCGAATTTACTATGGGCACTGTATTTTTATGGCATTTTGGAATAATTTTGTATTTGTGCACATAATTCAAAGTTTGTTCTGGGATTCCAAAGAACTAAAGTTTAAAGATTACAAAAAATGTTCTGTCGAAAATATATTTTTAGACAACATGAATATTTATATATTACGTGTAAAGTTTTTTTTATCATTTTATTATTAATTCTTCGTCCTTTTAAAGTTTAAAGGGACTGTTTAAAGTTTAAAGGGACTGTTTAAAGTTTAAAGGGAGTGTTTAAAGTTTAAAGGGACTGCTTAAAGTTTAAAGGGACTGTTTAAAGTTTAAAGGGACTGTTTAAAGTTTAAAGGGAGTGTTTAAAGTTTAAAGGGACTGTTTAAAGTTTAAAGGGAGTGTTTAAAGTTTAAAGGGAGTGTTTAAAGTTTAAAGGGAGTGTTTAAAGTTTAAAGGGACTGTTTAAAGTTTAAAGGGAGTGTTTAAAGTTTAAAGGGACTGTTTAAAGTTTAAAGGGAGTGTTTAAAGTTTAAAGGGACTGCTTAAAGTTTAAAGGGACTGTTTAAAATTTAAAGGGACTGTTTAAAGTTTAAAGGGACTGATAAAGTTTAAAGGGACTTTTTAAAGTTTAAATGAACTGTTTAAAGTTTAAAGGGACTGTTTAAAGTTTAAAGGGACTTTTTAAAGTTTAAATGAACTGTTTAAAGTTTAAAGGGACTGTTTAAAGTTTAAAGGGACTGTTTAAAGTTTAAAGGGACTGTTTAAAGTTTAAAAGGGACTTTTTAAGGTTTAAAGGGACTGTTTAAAGTTTAAAGGGACTTTTTAAAGTTTAAATGAACTGTTTAAAGTTTAAAGGGACTGTTTAAAGTTAAAAGGACTGTTTAAAGTTTAAAGAGACTGTAATTTCAAGTAATCCTCCATTACAGCGGTACTCTTAAAAGCCTTGTCTAATCAAATATGAATGAACTATCCATTTTTATAACTGGGAAAACTGATTATTTTCAATTGTGGGTTCTCATCAAAAGTGAGTTGTACATTCCAAGTGCAGGAATTAGATAAAAAAATTCAAAATTCAAAATGAATAAATGAATAAATGAATAAATGATTAAATGAATAAATGAATAAATGAGTAAATGAATAAATGATTAAATGAATAAATGAATAAATGAATAAATGAATAAATGATTAAATGAATAAATGAATAAATGAATGCCCAGATTCCAAAGATAGCCCACATGATACCCAACACCTCTTTAACTGTACAGACAAACAGACAATTTAACTACCTTTAGCCTTTGGACGCAACCAAGAGAATATGCTCTTCATCTTGGTTTAGAAGAGACCTGACCTAATTTCTGGGCTACAACAACAACAACATGAGAGTTAAACGTTTCCAGGCCTAGAAACACGACAATATATATCCCACGATTTTGATCAGATTTAGGTTTCCAGGGTACCCTTGTAAATCGGGGATTACCATCTCATGAAGGGCCGCTTACAGAGTTTACGTTACGCTTACATCCTCATTAAGCAAATACAATTTACCTCCAGTTTAAAGGAAAAAGTTTGATCATAGAGAACAAAATATATTTTTGATTTGTTTAATATGTTTATTTTTAGGTCTGGAGTTGACCAAGTAATACTGCCGAAGAAAAAAGTTTAAATTTAAATATTAATCTTAATTGTATTCACCCTAATCATTGTAGCGCCTGCCTAAGAATAATTAAAGAGACTATAGGGGTAATTTCAAGTGACCCAACTTTGGTAGAGTGAATTATTTGATTCACAACAGTACCCTTTAAACCTTGGACTGATCAAGGATTCACAACAGTACCCTTTAAACCTTGGACAGATCAAGGATTCACAACGGTACCCTTTAAACCTTGAACTGATCAAGGATTCACAACAGTACCCTTTAAACCTTGGACTGATCAAGGATAAAGGAATTATCCTAATTGTCTATAATGCTTAAAATTTATTGAACACTTTATTTGTTTTAGATTTGAGAAATATTAATATTTACTTTCTAGAAACCATATTGAACAGTTAAACGGCCATTAGAATACCATTTCAGAGATATTTACAGACACACGGAGTTTTCCGCCCTCAGACATTAGCCAAAAGTTTTAAGGGTACCGTTTAAAGGGTAGTTGCGGGGGAGGGTCATTTGGAATATGCTGACAGTCCCTTTAAAAGAACCCAATTAAAGTCCCTTGAGAGTGCATTTAAAAATGTGTGCCGGTGTTTAAACCAAAGATATTTTATTGATGTTGTCAGATGAAATTTATTTTAAACCTTTTTTATGATTTTATGTATTAATTGTTATTTTGATGGCTGTGATTTCTACTAATTTCTACTAAAAAAGAAAAAAAAACATATTATCATTGATTTTATAGATGTGGAAGAGTTTGTAAATTTAACATCTTATTGTTAACTGTATTATCTAAATGTTTAAATAAAATGTTTTAATTTATTTTATATTTAACTAGCTTGGGAACTCAGCGCTACCAAGGTTCCTTAAAGTTACTCCCGCTATTTACCCGCACTTGAACTAAATTATCGCTTTGAAAGTCGACCCACTGAACTAAGAATGTCAAACCCAAGCTGAGAACATTTCCATGGGTCTCATAAGTTTCCCAATCAAATTTTATGTATGTAATGTAGATGTTTTCAAAAATGTTCTAATGAAATTTTTTGATTTATTTTATATAAAATGTTCTTAAAATGTTTTATTTATCCATCTATCTATCGATCTATCTATCTATCTATCTATTTATCTATCTATCTATCTATCTATCTATCTATCTATCTATATATCTATCTATCTATTTATCTATCTATCTATCTATCTATCTATCTATCTATCTATCTATCTATCTATCTATCTATCTATCTATCTATCTATCTATATATCTATTTATATATAGATACATATACAGATATAAGATTTGCAGCATCCCGTCTTTTCCAGGAATCTATTCTATCCATGGAAACTGCTCTGCTCCATGCACTATCCAGTCTATTACAGGAATATATTCCATCTAGGAACTGCTTTGCTCTGCACTCTGCAGCATCGTTTGTTTTCCAGAAATATATTCCACTCATGAACTGCTGCTCAGCTCTGCAGAACCCTGCAGAAATAGATTCAACGTTCTCATCTCAAAACTCCAGTAGCGTAGAATTTTTATCTGTACTCAAAACATACAATGGCTGTTTTACACATTTGAGAATCTAAATAATCATCGATTCTACTGCTGCTTCGGACTTAAATCAATGTTTTTTAGTCTCCAATTTGCATCCCAACGGAGAGCCATCTTTCTTCAATCATATGCTGTCTTATTATGATTCCCGGATTTTCAAATTTGTACTCGGGGATTACTAACATTTTGGATTGTTCGGAACAATTTCTTGAATATATTTGATATTGATGTTCACATCTATCAATATATTGAAAAAAGTTGGATTTATTTTTTATATAGTTGTATGTGTCCATTGAATATTTTCAATTTTACTTAATAAAAACTATCAATATATTTCGTCCGTTGGATGGTTGTGTCCAACCTACAAACTTTTTATCTTATATCTGTATATGTATCTATATATAAATATAATATATCTATCTATCTATCTATCTATCTATCTATCTATCTATCTATCTATCTATCTATCTATCTATCTATCAATCTATCTGTCTATCTATCTATCTATCTATCTATCTATCTATCTATCTATCTCTCTATCTATCTATCTATCTATCTATCTCTCTATCTATCTATCTATCTATCTCTCTATCTATCTATCTATATACCAATCTGTCTATTTGATCAGATTAAGCACTCTCTGGTTCTCCTAGTTCTGCCAATACAATTAGTTAGAACATATTCCAGGCAAAATACTATATATATATGTATATTTATAAAGGACAATTTGTTTTTATTTTTTTCTATGATATTTCGGCTATTTTCAAATAAACATTATACCAGCCTGGGAACCCGGCGCTGCCCAGGACGTTACTTATAGTTAATCCCGCCGTTTACCCGCGCTTGGTCGTAAATTACGATTTTAGCTCTGGATCCACTCATAACGTAACCAAGCTAATAACATTTCTGAGGCTCTCCCGAGTTCCCTATCATAATTAGAGGCAAATCGGTCCTTGGGTTCTTGAGTTATGATCGGACAAACAAACCGACACCCATACAGAAAAAACAGATATTACAACTTTGTGAATAAAGATATATCAAAGATATATTCATATATGTCTACACTAGATCTAATTTGTTTTAACTTTTTTTACGATATTCTACTATTTTCAACTATATATAATATATATACGTAACTAGAGGAACTATATATGACATTTCCAAAATACAATTACCCCTTTCCTTAGCTTTTTTTTTCTTTTAACAAACGTTGGTATACTAATTTTCCCTCAATAGCAACTAAAATAACTGAAAGTAGTAAACAATGTATCACTAATTTTGGCTATCACGAACAGACTAACAAAAAATTCATAGATCCTCCTAGAATAAAGTCAAAGAGCCTACTGGTATAAAACCTTGGAGTTTAAATTGCCCAACTTGATTTTGAAATTGAGATTAATGGAACTTTCAACTGTAAGACCAGAAATGTAGTTTACTGTATTACTGTGAACCAAATAGATTATCAAGTACAAGAGGTGGCAACAGAGAAATGGATCTATTATACACGACGTCACAAGTGTCAAATATAACAAAGATAACGAAATTGTCTCACATTAGTTGACATATTTTCAAAGATTAAATAAAAAAGTGAAAACAAGAAAATAAATAACACATAAAATTGCACCTTTTTTTCACTGTAAGATAAGCTCTTTATTCTAAAATTATCCCTATTATTAACAATTTTGTCGGACACAAAAACTGAGTTGACACTTGTGATGTAAGAATACAGCTGTACTGAGAGTGTACAAATAATACGTTGCCATCTATTGTATTTAACAATGTATTTGCTGTGAACAGTGTAAACTACAATATATAGGATAGACAACAAGATCTTTAGATGAAAGAGTGAGAGAACATATTGTTTACATTAGAAATCTTCATACAAACCAGCCTACAGGAGAACATTTTATCCTTCCCAGACAAGAACTCTACCATCTAAAATTTAGCGTTCTAGAGAAGGTTTGGGACCTTGGGAGAAGTTTACTTGAAGTACAAGAATCTAAATATATTAGAGATTTTATGACTAAACTCAGAGGAATGAACAGAAAAAAATAGTTTTTATTTAATTGTAAAGTGTAATTCAGTATTTAAAAAAAAGGGTATTATTTTTGTCCAATTTTTCAAAAGGTTTAAATACCCCTCCTTAAACAACCCCTGGGCCACTCTATACACATTCATATAAACAGTTTGTTTTTAATCTTCATGACAGAAACAATCTCAAGGAATAATAATTGTCTTAAAACATTTTTTTAAAGAGTGAATATTTTAAAATTTTCTTTTTCCATCCCATAATCTGAGTTCGTTTCCCATTTGTCCATTTGAACAATCCAATTTTTTTAAAATAATCTTTTTTGTTTGTTAATTTTCTTGTGGTTTTTAACATTTTTTTTTATCGATTTTAATGGTTATTATATCGTTAGAACTGATGAGGGATCAACCCAGAACGAAATATATTTTCAATAAATGTGGAACTAACACCTAATTATTTACCGAATTTTAAATTTAAATAATACTATCATTCATAAACCTTCCCTGTGGTCCCTAGATGTCCCACAAAAAATTTGGGCCCGATCGGTTCAGCCGTTTTGACGTTTATTGGATACATACAGACAGACAGACAGACAAACAGACAGACAAGCCAAATTTATATATAGAAGCCGGGAACTTGTGTTGGAAACTCATAATCCTGATTGCTTTAACACAATATCCATTGCATGGACACTTTTAATTTGAAGATCTACAGAGTGTCCCAATTAACAAGGGAATTGAGAGACGACTTGAAAGTCGTCTTTGATTTCTGATATTTAATGCATGACAAGGAAATTATAAAAACGAACGTCCTAAGAGCATTCTTGTGTCTTGAAATACACGAAAATTTTATGTATTACTAGGTTTTCAGGGCCATCTTCTATTTTATGTATTACTAGGTTTTCAGGGCCATCTTCTATTTTAATTGTGAACATGCTCTCTTTGTATACTTTGTAAAACAAAAGCAAAACAAAATTTCGCTGAATTTATAAAAAAGAATTTTGTGAATTTTCAAAATTTTTAAAAATCGAATTGTTGAAATTTTGATTATCCATAAACCTTTTCTGCAGGCCCCGATTCACCCCGGACTAACCAGAGTGAGCAGCATTCGGTTTCTTCTATTTGAAATCAAACGTGTTTTGGTGTTTAATTCAACAATAATTTACTTTACGGATTCGTTTATTCTATACTTTTTCATTTAAATGCATATGCCGACAAAAAAGTATAAAAAGAAAAAGGCGTACAAAGTATGTTTAATGGGTCATATTGTGATCGAAATATTGACAGAACCGTTAAATCCTCGTGGATCGGTTTAGCCGTGTTAACGTTTATTGGATACTAACAAACAGACAGACAAGCAAAGAATATTTTTTATTTAGTAAATAAATTTATTTTTTTTACAGATTTTGAACTATCTCCGCCAATTTTAAAGATTCAAAATTAGTAGACCACATTTTGAAAATCTTGAGATCAGGCGTTTTCGAAATTTTTAAAACTGGAATACTGTAATAATTGTGTTCATGAAATATGCCACATGGATCGAAGACGCTTAATAGCCATGTTTATTTGGACACCCTGTAAATAAAAA